CAAATGATTTATATTATCAAGGCGTTTACCAATAATATTTTGATATAATATTATTTTCGTATATAATACTTTGCAATAAAATTTGGCCAAAAATTGTTTTAGGCAATATATTTTGTGATTACATATACGCACAAAACTAATTTTCTGTGTTTTGGAAAAAAGTAGCATTTATAAAAAAAAAATCGCATGCTTGGGCTCACTGTCGATAAGTATAAATTCTGAAAATTTTTGTTATTGATTTAAGATATTTTGAAATAACAATTAATTACACAATTATGTAATTTTCCATCGTATAATCATAATTTAATGACTAAATTACTATTAATTTTTATATATATCATTTTCGTGATTTTTATACACATTATCCCAAAGTCTTCCTCTGTTAATAAAAGTGCAAATGTTTTTCTATTATAAAACATACAAATGCTACCTCTAGTAATTTTTATTTTTCAAGTACAATTATTTGAATTATAAATTTTATTTCAAATAGATGAAAGAAAACGAAAGTATAATTCTTCCAAAATTAATATATTGTATTTGATTTAATTATAAAGGATATCTTTAGTTGCTTATCTTGTCTAATTGTAGGACAAAAATATGTAAATGTTTATTTGCATAAATAGTTTAGTTCTATATTAATAATAATTATAGCGATTAATTTAAACGAAGAAAATTATTAAGTTGAACAAATAATATCTATTCTTTGTTAATATGTAAATTTGATAAAATATTCCAAACGATATGTGTAAATTGAACAAATTACAAGGCTGGTATGGATTGTTACAATAATCTGTATAAATATTTCAGTATTTTTATTATGTTTTACTTTTATTTAAGAGGAAAGATTAGTATGCGTCGTCGTATTGAGGGTAATCATATTTAAATTATACCATTTACCAAGCATGTATGCAATGTGAGAGCTGACATATGTATGTACGCGTCATAAGTTTCTAATGATGTTTTCAATATTACAGAAATGAATGAATGAAAAAAAAAAAGAAACAAAGAAAACAGTAATATTGAAAATTCATTGAACTGGATAAAAACAAATTTCTAGCAGTATTATGTGTTTCGTAGTAACTCTTAATTGGTAACCATATCTTTCTTTCTATTTGATTTGAATCAAATGAATATTCATAATTTTCATCCACCGTCTGTAAGGAGGAGTTTTAACTTCCCCATAAATCAAATATATTTTAAGTTAAAGACAGCACCAAATATTTAAGTGTGCGACAGAATAGAGGCAGCTCGGGCAGGTATTATCTATTATGTTATCTGCATTACATACGTGTACGTATATGTATATATAGGTATTTTATAAATACATGTAATAGAATGATACAGTTCCAGTTATCGCTATAGCCGATACTCTTAATGAAAAGGGAAAAAAAAAGAAGAAAGGTTTGAAACGGACACAGAAAATCCGCACTTCGTATGACGCGGCAGATCAATCATGCTTTTTACAATGAGAGAGAATTCGTACTTTAATGCTAAGGATTACAGTGCGTTTGATTCGTTACAAAACACTGTCGATTTGCGCCTTTCGATTTTTATATACTTTTAAACGAAATGAACAAATTATAATGGGTTGATTAAGATGTTAAATATACAGCAAATAACGCGTGTATGCTAAGGGGAATCTTTCATATTATCACAAACTGAATATAAAATATAACTTGTATTCTGTTTGTGTACATTCTTTCTGCTGTACTTTATACTTTGGTACCTTGAAAAGATGACAGGGAATAGAAAGTAAAATTTTAAGATATTGCAGATTGTAATTCCTGAGAGTTTATGTAACCAAATCCACGTTTCGAAGTTGCAGTCAAGAGAGAGCACCCATTTTTAATCTGAAAGGAAACATCACTATAGTGATCAATTAAGTAATTGTTAACAAAGCTTGTATTTCTGTATTAGGATTGCAATATAGATAAATTCATTTTCTGCTCTACTATCACGATATATGTGTATGTAAGCAAAACAGACAAGATTGTAATTAAATGATTAATAGGTATAATGTAGAGTTAATAGAGCACCATACCAGAGTAAAAAAAATCCTTAGTAGTTTGTTATATACATACACACAGTCTCGAACAAAAATGAACTTTCTGTCGTGTATAATAAATAAATAAATATATATATATACATACATTTAAATTAAGTAGTGAGCTGAAGAAAAATATGAATGCTGCTGTAAATGTAGAGGGTTCTACGATGCTTTTATTGTGTATTTTCTTCGAAATATTAAATTCATGTCAAAGAAAAACACGACAGAGAAGTTTCTATTGCCGGAGAACTGTTTCAATAATGATTATTTTCTAATTTGTATATTGTAATAATATACATTATACTCCGACACGTAAGGAAGAAAGTTTTTAACGAATTATTTACAGGAACAAAGCTGTAGTACAGAAGATTCGTTGTACGTAAAGAAATTCATGAAAAAGACAATTGAAATTAAAAGTAGTGAAACGTAATACTTAATATTTCATATTGTATAGTACACATATCGTACTTATCCACGCATATCGTAGTAGGTATCAATGAAAGTTATTAACGCCAGAATTTAAAAAAAAAAATGTGCAAATTCGTTTTCCCTCTATTGAAAAATGTACGAAGCGATATCAGTAGAATCGTACGGAGAAATAGCAAATTATTTGTGCGCCATATTATAATATAAACATATCGCACTATTGTACAAAGAATAAACTATACATCCGAAAACGTATAATTCTGCATCTTGAAGCAAACCTCGCGTACATTATGATGGTGTGAATTCAACAATTTTCAAATTATTGTTACTTATGAAATTGTGGTTGTTTCTATAATAATTTAAAAAGAAGACGAAAATTGAAAGTGAAGGGAATAAAAAAAACTTTACATCCGTTTTTTAAATAATTATAATATCCAGCAATATACCAATACAAATAGTGAAAATTATTGAATCGAATAGCCTTTTCGAACACTAACGTAACAAAATTTCCAAGTTTCGTACATAACAATAATACAACGTTAAGACTTCTTTTTTTTTTCTTTTTTTTTTTAAGTAATAAATATATGTGCGCGCAATGTACGTGTGCATAACGTGTGCGTGTACCGTGTGTAAAACAAGTATTGCTGAATAAATTCCGTGTGTATGTATCGTTCGTATAAATACAAAATAAGATTACATTATGTATATATCTATATAAACCTAAACAGAAAAAAAAGTAGTGTACAAAATATAAATCTATCCAGGATTCATTTGTGATATAAAAATTAATTTTCTCGGAAAATATGTATATGTACACGCAGAAATGTTCGTCCATGCTGGTAGCGAAGAAATTCAACAGCACATTTGCGACAAAACTATGATATACTTCTCTCACTGGGTAACTGATATAAATCTTTTTTTTTTTTTTTTTT